CAGGAGTGGTAAGACATAAGACAGGAAGACCAAGTAAGAATTAAGGTCAGATAAGAGAGATATGACAATAGAAACAGTAAGATTTGGCAACTGAGTAGACATGTGAGGTGATGGAAAGTGACACATACAACATGATGCTGAGAATACTAACCTAGAGATTGAAAAGATGGTGGTAGCTCTGTCAGAAACAGGGACATTTGGAAGAGGAAAGAGTTGAGGCAGAAAGAAAAGGAGTTTAGTTTTAGACATGTTAAGTTGAATATATTTCTAGGATATCCAATTTGAAGTGTCTAACAGGCAATTGGTAATGTAGGACTGAAGCTCAGGGGAGAGTCTTGGACTGGATATATGGAACTGGGATTCATCCACATAGAGATAATGGTTAAACCCTAAAGATCTGATGAATTTACTAAGAAAGAGAACATGGAAGGAGAAGAGTAAAGAGCCTTTAACAGAATCTTTTCAGGAGCATCTGCAGTTATGGGGGAATGATTTGCATGTTGAGACAAGAAAGGAGATTGATCGAGAGGTCTGAAAAGTAGGAGGCAAATCAGGAGAGAGAGATATCATGAAAATGTAGAGACAAGAGAGTATTCAGGAGAACAGGCTGGTCAATCCCATCAAATACAAGGTCAAGGAGGAATAGGACTGGGAAAAGACCATCAAATTGGGTAATTAAGAGATCACTGGAGAGAGCATTTTCAGTTAAGGGATAAAGTCAGAAAGCAGTTTGCAAAGGCTTGAGGAATGAGTGAAAGAAGAGGAAGTAGAGGAGGTGAATTTCTATATTCTATATAATTTTTGAAGGGTTTGGCTGAAAAAGGGAGGAGAGATACAGAACAATATCTTCAGGGGATGGTAGGGTCTAGAGAAGTTTTTTTGAATTTATTTTAAAGGATGGAGGAGATGGGCATATTTGAAAGCAATGAGAAAGAACTAGCTGATAGAGACATTAAGGATTTGAGTTAAAGGGGTGGCAATTTGCTGTAAAAGATGAGAGAGGATGAGATCAAGTGAACGTATAAAAGTGTTGACCTTGGCAAAGAGAAGGAGTTTGTCAGAGACTAGGGGAAAGGAGGAGAGTTTTGAAGAGAATGAGAGGGAAATAGCCCACATCAAATGGCCTTCTTTTCAGTAAACTAAAAGGGAAGACTGGTTGAGAGAGAGAGGGGTGAGTAGAAGGTGTAGGAGGCTTGGGGATGTCATGCAGGCCTGAATTGAGGTGGTAAATGTGTGAGTGGAGAATAGAGGTCAGCTGTGAGAGATGTTGTAAAACTAGGAATGGCAAGATTTGGCAAGAAGGAAAGATTTGAGGAGGGAAAAGATTTGCAATAGCTTCTGTGGGAGTGAGATAGGGAATGAGTTAGAGTACAGTTCTGATAATATTCCTCAAGCCTTCCAACAAGGGTAAACTCTATAGGTGGAAAGAGGCTATAGAAGAAAATCTATGAACAAAAATAAGGATCCCCACAGAGGAGAGGAAAAAAAAGCTTTCCACTCTAAGGCCCACTGGACTATGAAACTTATCTCAAAGGAAGGGTTGAAAATTGTGTGCCATTTACTAGATTTACCAAAGAATATAATTTTGTGAAACAGAACTTCCTACAAAGGGAAGATGAAAGATAAAAGGAAAGAGTTTGGGAACTAATTTCATTTTTGTCTATTTTCTACACCACGTATTGCAAATGAAACCAGAGGGGAAGGAGAATGATAAATAAGGTTTGTTAGGTAGTTATGGTGATTAGTCTGATAATAACAGATAAGAACTGGGATGTATATGAGAGAAGGAAAGAATTGGGCTGCCCATGAAAAGGGTATCTGATATGGACATCTGGCCAACAGCTTCCTCTTCTTAGGATGGAGATTGGTGGCTAAGACAGTTCATAGAGAAAGCTTCCTACAAGTTTAGTCTTAGCATAAGTAGTACATCTGGAATTTGGGGGTAGTGGGAAACGGCAGGTTCAGAGGAGTTTTCATACTTAGAGGGATAATGGGGGATAATAATATCTGACCTACCTTACTCACAGGGTAGCTATGAGGATGAAGCAAGATAATGGATGCAAAAGGGCTGTGGAAAGTAGAAAGGGCTGTACAAATGTAAGGTATTATTATCATCATTATCATTAGCATTGTAGGGGCAGCTAGGTGGCGCAGTGGATAGAGCACCTGCCCTGAAGCCAGGAGGACTTGAGTTCAAATCCGGCCTCAGACCAAACACTTGACACTTACTAGCTGTGTGACCCTGGGCAAGTCACTTAACCCCAATTGCTTAAAAATCAAATCAAATCAAATCATTAGTATTATTATTATCAGATACTTTCCTAACCCTCAGCCATCATCTCCACCCCACGTCTCCCAAAGAAGACACATCTTCTGAAGCTGTTCTTCATAAGTAGGATAGATAGATAGATATAGATAGATAGATATCCCCTCTCTTCTTGTCCACTACTGTGCCTCTTCAAAATTTAGAGCATACCCACATCTTATTCCATCCCACTCCCATTGTTGGTCACTCTACCACATTGGAAATAGGAGATTGAGGCACATTTGTTTTTAGTCATTAAGAAACATGCCTTATGAAATGATTTGCTGCTTCATGCCTCCTATGACACAAAAAGAAATAATTGAGGCAATTATGCACCAGAAAAGGATGAGCAGTAATTGCAAACCGAGGCTTTCAGCCATTACTTGGCAAGTGATCATGGGTACTAACTTTTATTTTCCCCCATGGGGGCAGGTAAGAAGAAAGTGCAGAGTAAGGGGATCTGGGGTACAATTAACAGGGATAGGCAGAATTTGGGAATTTATTCTTTTCTCTTCACAAAGGAAGGGGATAAAACCCCTGGGTCAGAACACCTTTTTTTCCCTCTGTTCTCATCAAAAAAGGGAAAATGCAGTCCCTAGTCCATTTAATTTAATTTCTTTCAGAATTGATGACAAAGCTTATTCAGTCTACTGTGCTGCTTTTCTTCATCTACTTAGCTCCCCCGGATGACTGACCACCTCAATTTCTTAATAGTCTGAATAAGAGATAGTTTTCATTCAGAAGCCCTGAGCATCGGACCTTGGAGAAACTGGCCCATTTCAGGTGGACAGCTGATGAAAGCCACCTAGACAAAGCACTGTAGAATTTGTAAACCAGCTTGAGCCACCCTATCACCTGAAAAGACAAAAAAAAAAAAAAAAAAAAAAAAACCTGGCCCACTCTGAGTTAACATACTATAATGCCTTCCATGCTTTCTGAATGAACCCAAAATGCCCCTTTCGGTGTCAGCAACTATAAGGTTAGATGAAGCTAACCAGGAGCATTCTTCTGTTATGACTGATAAGGACTCCGCACCTTGAACTGGACACTATCTTGATTAACTGGCACTTCCCTTACTTTGTTATTTTATGGACACTATCCTGTTATGACATTTTCCTTGGCTAACAAAAGGATAGATATCCTGAAGGCAGGTGTACTTTCTTGCTTCATGGGAACCATAATTTTGGCTGACAAACATATCCTGAGTCGGGGGTAAAAGGAGGGGGCACTGCCTTACTCTATAGATAAAAGTCTCTTTCAACTGGCCCTTCTTTGAGTCAGATTATTCTGACTCCCATACATATGTTTTCACTAGCTTAAAGGGAACAAATAAATAGCACATAATACTTAATTTCATTTGTCTCTTTTTAATGAAAACTATGGAGATTGACCTATTCTTATTTCTCTCTTCTTAGACCAAATTCGGAGGATTGACCTAATTTCGCTGTCTCTTTTTAGACAAAACTCCAAAGGTTGACAAATCATACATAGAGTATTTCCTTTTCCTCACAGCTTGTTAAAGACTCCTACTTTTCACAAATGGGAGAAGTGGGTTTGACTCACAAAGCCTAGAAATACTCCAGCTTTGGGAAAAAGAAGGGAGTGGGGCTTGATATCCATTATTCTTCCTGCTTCCCCCTCCCAAACTGAGCATATAGGTACAGGAAACTCTGATTGGTCATTAATTCCTCATTTCAAATATAATCCCAGAGGCTGAGTCAATCTATTATGGTTCAAAAAATAATTTGTGAGTGAGGTAGGCAGGCTGAAGAATTGTTGTTCCACATAGGAAGCATCTCTGGCTGACTTTATCAGGGTTCCAAGCTACAAGGTATTGAAAAATCCATTTGGCCATCAACCATTAACTATCTCTTGAATGCAAGGCATAACACTGCATACAATGGATGACAAAGTATTACAGCTGGAAGGGATTATCTTGTGAAATTCTCTCATTTTACAAAAAAAGAAAACTGAGGTACAGAAAGATGAAATAATTTACCCAAGTTTCAAGCTAACTAATCAGAGTTGGGACTAGAATTCAAGTCTTTTGATTTTAAATCCAGTCTAATGTTCTTTCCATTGCAACTTAATCCTACTAGAGACCATCTACCCAGAAGGATAAGTATAGCATTAGCTCTTACCTTCCTCCATGCCTTCCCACCCTCACTAGACTCCAGTGCTCTACAAAGTTGTTGCTTCTTATTGCCTATTAATTTGGCTAGCAATCAGAATGAGCCAAACAGTATGGTGGAAAGAATACTGAATTTGGATTAAAAAAACCTGGATCATAATCACATCTTGGCCACTTAAAACTTAGGTGATTTTAGACAAGTCACTTAACCTATTTGACCTTGGAAAAATGAGAGGATTAAACTTAACGACCTACCCATAAGGTCCCTTCCAATTTTAAATCTTTAATCCTAAGAATTCTGCTGAGATAGTTTTTTAAACAATAAGGAAATGAATAGTGATCTAAGGTATTTCAAAGTGCATGTTAAGGGTGAGTGGCAGAATAGAACCAATAATATTGAGCCTATCTATGTATATATGTGATCACTTCATATAGGTTATAAATACTAACTTCCTCATCTTTGTGTTATCTCCACCCCAAACACCAGAACAGCCCTTTGCATAGAACAGGTGCTCAATAAATATTTAAGTGAATGAATGAATATCAGTGAGACTAAGAACTTACCAGTAAAACCTGTTGGGCGTAATGTGTTCATGCATCAGTTGCCATCTTCTCCCAAAATCCAGAGAGCTATAGAGCTGCAAAACACAAAATGAGGTGGGGGATAAGGAAACAATGAGTATCGAGGGGTCACAACAAAACTGGCTGCATTGCTGTGGAAATACTTATGCTAGAACATCAAGGTACTGTTTATAAAAACAAATAGTTTTCACCTAGAATCACCACCATTCCCAATATATCTAGATAAACCAAATTTAAGACCAGATGTCTACCAAAGGACCTTGCACATAGTAGGCATTTGAAAAGCATCTGTTAATTGATGGTTATTTCACTTCAATCTATAGTTTCAATGTTTTCAAACAACTTTCCCAACAAAAATCCTACAAGATAGATAAGTACAAGAATCATTATTCCCATTTCATAGAGGGGGAAGCCAAACATATGAGAAGTTAAGTGGCACCATGTTGCTAAGATCAGATTCCCTAGGGTTACACAGCCAGTAAGTCTCAAAATTAGGGTGCAAACCCAGGTTTTCTATCACTAAGAACGGTGCTATTTTCAGTACACCACATCAGTCTTCAAGTCAAGAGAGTGCATTGTCGATTGTCCATTGATGCCTGCCGGTGCATTCTTCAGTAGGAGTCCCTCTAGCAGAGTTATGTCTTTTTAACTATAACCAGAAACATTGACTCTATCTAGGCTCAATTAATAATAGTCAAGAGATTCTTATTGTTTATTCTCTATTCGTGAAGACCTACTTTAAATATCACTAGTTCTAGGAAGCCTTCCCTGGCTATGCTAGACCACAGTTCCCTCTTCTTCCTATAAATGTCTCTAGTTAGGCAAACTGTCTAGCATCTTTCATTTCATAGCAAGGATCCAAAATCATAACAAGTTAGGATGAGCTGAATCTAATAAGATGAAATTTAATAAAGATCAATGTAAAATTATACATTTGACTTGAAAATAAATCAGCTCACAACAATGAGATGAGGAAGGCATGGTTAGAAAATAGCTTTTGGGGGAAAAACTGGAACCTTCAATGGAATGCAGACTCAGTATGAGTCAAATGGGAAATATGACAAATAAAAACTAATGTGATCTTAGGATGCATTAAGAGAGACAGTTTTTACCTGGGAAGACTTATCTCAACTGAGGAAAAGTGAACTAAGCAGAACCAGGAGAATATTGTTCATAGTAATGGCAATATTGTAAAGATGGTCAAGTGTAAAAGACTTAGCAATCTGATCAAGACAATGATCCAAGACAATTCCAAAGGACCCATGATGAAAAATGCTATCCATCTCCAGAGAGAGAGAAAATTGATGAATTCTGACTGCAGATTGAAGCATACATTTTTCACTTTCTTTATGTTCCTTGCTTTTCATTGTTGTTTTTGCAACATGGCTACTATGGAAATATGTTTTGCATGACTTCACATATGTAATTGATAACATATTGCTTGCTTCTCAGTGGGTGGGGGAGGAGTAGGGAGAAAATTTGGAACTCAAAATTTTAAAAATGAATGTTAAAAATAAATAAATTTAAGCATCCTAAAGAGAAAAGGTTGGGGCAGGTTTTACTGTACTCTATTTTACTCAAGAAAATTATCTGAAGTACTATATTTTGTTGTGGTCACCAATTTTAGGAAGGATATTGATCAGGTGGAAAGTGTTCAAAGGAAAGTAATGAGGACAATGAAAGGCCTCAATATTACATGATATGAGGATTAAAGAAATCAGGCATGTTTAGACTGCAGAAGACTTCCTAAAGGCATAATAACTGCCTTTAAGTATTTAAAGGTGTCATATGGAACAAGGATTAGACATGTCCTGCTTGGCTCCAGGGAGCAAAAGTAGGAGTAATAGGTGAAAGTTGCAAGAAGATTTAATGCTGATAAAAGTGTAAAAATTTTCTGATATTTAGAGATATCCAAAAGTGAAATAGGTTCCCTTGAGAGGTGAAGGGTTACCACCCACCATTAAAAGTCTTTAAAACAAAGCTGAATGATTCTCGTTAAGTATAGTTTAGAAGGGACTGTCATTCAATAAAGTTTGGAATTGATGTCCTTTGAGATCTTTTCCAACCATGAGACATATGTTTCTCTCAGTCATCATCATTTCCTTTTATAAAGGCTAACAAACAACCGAAAGCAGTTCTTCTCTTCTAATCATAGGACCAATAGCATCATAATTTACATGGGTAGATCTCATTCCCTGTGATTCTTGGGTTTGTCTAAGCCAGGGATGGGGAACCTGCAGCTTCAAGGCTACATGTGGCCTTCTAGGTAGGTCCTCAAGCACAGCCCTTTGACTGAATCCAAACTTCACGGTACAAATTCCCTTAATAAAAGGATTTGTTCTGTAAAACTTGGACTCAGTGAAAAGGCTGCACACAAGGACCTAGAAGGCCACATGTGACCTTGAGGCCGCAAGTTCCCCATCCTTGTTCTAAGCATTCAAGTTGGATGACCTTGATTAATTCATATCAGTTTCCCAATCACTCTCATTAAGGAACATGCACCTGATTTCTCTATACCTTATTGATTTAGATCATTCTGTCTACTCAGATCCTAACTGTACTAGCCAGAGCATCAATGTCATTGTGCAAATGAATCCTTGATCTAATCGCCTCTTCATTTGTCAGAGAAACCAGAGCAAAGGAGAGACAGACAATGAGAACCCCCAACCTCCAAGGATGCTACTCTCATTTCTGCCTCCTTGGCATCTGCCTCTACTAGTGTTCCTGCCTTTCCTTTCAAAGGAGATATCTGTGACTTGTATATGTACACACAAGATGTGGTTGTACTTGATTCCCTGAAAAGATGTATTTCTCCTTTCATTCCCTTTTCTGCACTCTCATCACTCTCAGAGAGAATATGCCTATCAATAAAAAAAACCCAGAGACTATCTGCTTTTGGATTTCCACTACCTCCATTCACCTTTCTATATCAGATCCTATGTTTGACTGCTGGCATAGAGATTAAATTGAATTCCTTGCCTACAGCCTGACTAGGATAAACAGAAAGAGCAAATTTATCAGAAGGCTTGGGGGGGGTAGTTACATAGTTAGTTACACAGTCTATAGAATCAAAGCAAACTACTGGGGTCTAACTAATTTTCTTCTAGGATGGACAGCATCTCAGTACCTTTCAACTGAAAAGTTTTTGCAAGATCAAATGTTTCAGCTTGTGTTCACGGCCAAGGTAAAACGTCATGGGAACTGTTGATCTACATGTATAACAAACATCTGATCATATAATCGACCAGTCTGAAAAAAAATTTTTGATTAAGCATCTGTTATGTGCCAGTCACTATGGTAAGTGCTAAGGATACAAAAAGAGGCAAAAGTTTAGTCTTTGCCCTCAAAGAGCTCACAATCTAATGAGAGAGGCAACAAGCAAGTAAATATGTATAAACAAGCTACCTACAGGATAAATAGGAAATAATTAAGAGAGGAAAGGGACTAGAATTAAGAGAGGTTGAAAAAGGCTTCCTATAGAAGATGGGATTTAGTTGGGACTTAAAGGAAGATAGGGAAGGCAACAGGCTGAGATGAGAAGGTAGAGCTTGGGGGACAGAAAGAAACAATGCCCAGAGCCAAGAGACAGTGTGTCTTGTTTGTGGAACAGCAAAGATACAAGGTAAATGGATTGAAGAGTTTATGATAGGGAGTAAGACATAAGAAGACCAGAAAGATAGAAGGGGGTTAAGGACAGCTAGATGGAAAAGTAGATAAGAGTACTCAGCCTGAAGTCAGGAAGACTTCAATTCAAATCTAGACTCAGACACTTACTAGCTGCAAATCCCTGGGCAAGTAACTTAACACTGTTGTCTCAGTTTCCTCAGATGTAAGAATGAGCTGGAGAAGGAAATGACAAACCACTCTAATATCTTTGCCAAGAAAACTCCACATGGAGTCACAAAGAGTTGGAAATTACTGAACAACAACAACAACAATGAAAGGTTATGTAGGGCTCTGAATGCCAAGCAGAGCATTTTGTATTTAATTCTGGAGGAGAGAGGGATCCACCGGAATTTATTGAGTAAGGGGGTGATTTGATAGGACCTGTGCTTTAGGTCACTTTAAATCACTTTAGTGGCTGAATGAGGATGGATTGGAATGAGTGAATACCTGACTCAGGCAGACCCACTAGCAGGCTATTGCAGTGATCCAGGCATGAGGTGATGAAGACTCACATCAGAGTAGTGACAACGTCAAAGAAGAGAAGGGGGCTTACTCAAGAGATATTGCAAAGGTGAAATTGGTAGACCGTGGCAACAGATTGCATATGAAGTAAGGTTGCGGAGGGTGGGGAGTGGAGGGATGAGAGATAGTAGAATGAAGAATGACATTTAGGTTGCAAGCCTGAAGGACTGAGAAGATGCCATTTCCCCAGATGGTAATAAGGAAGTTAGGAAGAAGAGAGCTTAGTTCAGTTTTGGACCTGTTGAGTTTGAGATATCTACTGGATATCCAGGTTGAGATGTCTGAAAGGCAGTTGAAGATGCAAATTGGCAGGTAGGTAGAGAGGTTAGGGCAGGATAGTTAGATGTAAGAATGATCAGTATAGAGATGGTAATGGAATCCATGGAAGCTGATGAGATCACCAAAAGAACTAGTATAGAGAGAGAAAAGAGGGCCCAGGACAGAATCTTATGGGACTCCCGTAGTTAGAGAGCATGACCTGGATGAAGATCTAGCAAAGGAGACTGAGAAGGAATGGTCAGATAGGTGGTGGGAGGACGAGGAGATAGGGGTGCCCCAAAATATAGAGAGAAGAGGTAATCAAGAAGATGATGATCAACAAGGTCAAAGGCTGCAGAGAGGTTGAGGATAATGAAGACTGAGAAAAGGTCACTAGATTTGGAGAAAAGACCATACAAGAGAATCTTAGAGTTTCAAAGGACCTAGATGTCATCTAATACAACCCTGTCATGCTATATATGGAGAAACTGAGGTCTAAAAACTCAAGTAACTTATCCCAGCTCACATAATAATCATAATAACAATAACACTCATTTAGTTTTTAAGGTCTACAAAGCTCTTTAGAGATATTACTTGAGTCTTACAATGA